CCCTGCCGCGCCGGCCGTATGGTTCCGGCATCACAGCGAGCTTCTGGTTTCTTGCGGCTACGGTAGGAATCTAAGAAGCAGAGTTCAGGTAACACTCCCTGCTGCAGAGATTTCCCAAAACAAAGAAACGGACCGGCAACCCTCCCTCTTCTTCGTCCCCGAAGGGAAAAGGCGCACCCTGGACTCCCGCGTTGGGCCAGAGAGCCGGCCGACCAGCAGCCCGCTCCGGCCAAGGAGCCCGGAGCCCCGAAAGACCCCCTCGGAGCACCCACTTCCACGGCCAGTTGGCCAGGGACTCGCTGGGCCACTTGTCCAGTCGGGCGAGGATAGCAGAGGAGGTCGGGGGCCCGAGCCTTTTGGCAAGGGGTCCCAGCCCGCACGTAGGCCGCTTTGCCCACCCCAAGTGGACGCACCTGCCGCGCTTGCCCGCCTCACACTCGGCTCGTCACCCACCCGGCGCGGAGGCGGGAGACGTAGGGAGCTCCTAGGCGCTCAAGCCGGGATCCCGAGCCCAGGAAGCCCGCACAAGAACGGGTCCCGCGCGCTGCTTACCTGCCTCGCTCCCGGCCGCTGCTCCCAGCCCCTCCGCCTTCCTCCTCCGCCTCCTACTGAGCTCCCGTCCTCCTAGGCCGGGCTCACAACTCCCCCACCTTCCCCAGTTCTCTCTTTAATCAAAGGAGGCGGCGTCCTAGAGCCCAAGGCGACACCCCCAAGCAAAGGTCTCCGGTCACCTCGAGCAGGGGGAGGGGACGGACCTGAGCGGCTGCCCCAGGCGGGCGGGTCCGGGTCCCTGGCGAGAGCTAGGAGGAGGAGTTTCCCCAGGGAAAAGCCCGGGACGAGCTCCTAGCCGGCCCGCGGGGTACCCTGGACAGACTCCGCAGCGCTTCCCGGGTCTGCCCCAGCAGGCAGATGAGGGCTGGGGAGGAGCGTGACTTGCTCCCTCCCACTGGACCGCTCCGGTCTCCGGTGCTATGGGTCTAGGCTCCAATGTGGATTAAGCAGGGTATTCTGGGGAGCCCTAATCGAGTCCCCCAAGTGAGCCCTGGGAGTGCTGCTCCACGAACTCCTGTGGGCCGCTCGCCTAGCTCTGGAGTTCGGGGGGACCAACGAGACCTCTGTGAAGACCCAGTCCCAGTCACAAGTGTCAGGGACGCTGCGCCTGGCGTCTGGGATCCTCCCTAGGCTACAGTCCGATCTCAAATCCCTTCAGCTGTCGGAGCCTGCAGTGGAAAAGACTCCGCAGGAGGAGCTGTCTTTCCCTGAACCACAGGGGTGCGGGGATGAGAAAGCCGTGGGTGCACCTCAGCCCAGAGACAGCTTTTCTCGGGTGTTTTAGAGGTACTTCCGATGTCGTTTGCGATTGTGAGGTCTCAGGATACACAACCCCAAAATATAGATGACTGGAAGATCAAAATATGCCACCCCAAAATAGTCCTCTTTAGCATAGTTTTTGAAGCTGGTTGAGAAACTGCAAAGCCCAGCAGCTCTGAAAAGTTGCCCTTTTTTTTTTTTTTGGAGAGGTTTTTGCAATAGGGTGCTTGAGCACGCCAGAAAGAGAGAGAGAGACAGAAAGCGAGAAATCACTCCCCAGGGGGGATGGTCACGCTGCAATCCCTTCTCCTCCATTCTCCTCTCGGGATCTTGGGCACGCACGCACACGCGTCTGGCATGAGTTTTAAGTCACGGTGTCAGAGACTCAAACCCCGATCGACTACATTGGAGTCCAGCCACATTACACCAACTGCTGGTCCCAAAAGCTGCCCTTTTGTAAAGGAAATTTACATATATAAAGGAAATGTTCATGGGTAAAGGCATCTGAAGCAGGAAGAGAGCCAGTTCCAGGCAATTTTATCACCTGAGATGCTGTTAAGGAGGCAACTTTTGCTTACCAGCTTTCCCTCCTCTCACCCTCCCATATTTTGGCCCCATGGCCACCTATTCCTATCTGAGCTCAGGATGACACACAAGTCTCAATCGTTTGCTGTTTCTTTGCGTCTCACACCTCTGTAGGACTCAAATAGTTTGTGTTGATTTGGTTTATGGCAATTAAATTCACAGACCTTTGGAAGAACCTACCAGTATAGAAGACACACATTTTTCCCTCTGCTATGCAATATACACATTGATATGATAGGCTTCAAAATAGGTGGAAGCAGGGGCCAGCAGGTGACGTGGTGGTAAAGACGCTGGATTCCCATATGGTCTAACACAGTTCAAGTCTTGGATCTGGTGGCTTGCTTTCTCACTTTCTCTCTGTCTGATCAAACTGGAAAATCATCATCATCATCATAAATAAGCAGGGCCAACAGGTGTTTTGGAGGTTATGGCAGCTGGATCCCACATGGCTGACTGAGCAGTTCAAGTCCCAGACCCTGGAGCTTAAAAATCAAACCAGGCACGTATGTGAACCAGCTCCCAAAATCCCAAGAGAATGGAGGAGAAATTGCACCCTGGCCATTCTCTCTAGGGGATGATTTCTCACATTCTCTCTCTCTAGTGAGTGTACATACCCTATAACAAAATTTTTTTTAAAAAATGGAAAGAGAAGAAAGCCTAAGATAAGCTCTCTCTCACAGAAGCCTCTCTTGGCCAGCCAGACTTTCCTAGTACATTCTTCCTTTCACTGTCCTTTGGCTTCTGCTTTACTTTACTGTTAGCCCTGAAAACAGGATGTCCTGACTACGCTCTAGCCCTACCCACCTCCCATACTTCACTGCTTTCTAGGTAGGCCCCAGGGGAAGACCCTCAAGGACAGTTTCCAGCACATAGATCGGCTCTAGTTATCTTCTGGTGGCAACTCGCTTATTTCTGCTTTGACAGCGTGTTTGCTGCCTGCTAGAAGTGACCCCTAGTTCGCACCTGCACACCAGGTAGTACGTGCTACTAACCTTTTAGCCCTT